GCCACCTCTCTCTCTCCATCACATTGTCCGCTGTGCTTCGACCACACTGACATCCACATCTTCATGGCTTGCTTCCGTCTATTCTTTCAGGTGTCTGCCCAAATGATAGTTTAAGAGAAAGCCCTTCCATGACAACCCTGTTTAAAATAGCAGCCCTTCCCATATTCTCTATCTCTTTACCTGTTTTTCCTTTATAGCACCTATGACTACTGACATTATTTATTGTCTTTTCTCTTCACACTAGATACCAGGGATTTTGGTCTGTTTTGTTTTCTGCTACATCCACAGTGCTAGAACAACGTCTGGAACACAGTAGTCACTCCACTCCACAATAATTTGTAAATATACAAGCAATTTAAGACCATTAAAGTATTGCAAAAGTTAATAGTGTAACTTAAAATGTCACACATTACCATATAAATTGTCTTTGTATATACATTTATATTAATAATTCATAATAAGAAGATACTTTGTACTTTCTGCAAATAAAGGGTAGCTTAGGAATTTTTGTTTTTTAAGAGATGCCTAGGCTGGAGTGCAGTGGCACAATCACAGCTCACTGCAGTTTGGAACTCCTGGGCTCAAGCGATCCTTCCGTCTCAGCCACCTGAGCAGCTGGAACCATAGGTGCACACCACCATACCCTGTTATTTATTTTTTTCATATTTAGAAGAGATGAGGTCTTGCTATGTTTCCCAGGCTGGGCTTGAATTCCTGGGCTCAAGCAATCCTCCGGCCTTGGTCTCCCAAAGTGTTGAGATTACAGGCATGAGCTATGACGCACAGCCAGAAACATTTAACGTAAAGTAGAAAAATTTTTGGTGGATGTCCTCTGAAAGTTGGTATATAATCTGTAACTCTGTAGAGCAGGTCAATTTTTGGTGAAGAACATATTTTAAAACTAAATTATCCTGCTAGTTTTATCCAGAAAACTATTATTCTTAAAACAGCACATTCCATGGGTATAAATGTTTTTTCTACAACTATAGTTAAGGTAGACTATTGATTACATTTGTTTTGAAAATTAAATAGGCCAGAGTTATCTTAGACACGCTCTATGGTGTAGACAATCATTCATTTGATTCTTAGAGTGACTTTGATACGCTAAAGAAAAAATCTTGGTCTTCCTTGAAGATATTTTCTTTTTTGGACCAGTGCAGAGGTGCTTGGTTAGTGCAGAAGTTTTCAGCTGGCTGCAATTTTGCCCCCCAGGGGACACTGACAATGTCTAGAGACATTTCTAGTTTTCATATCTGGGGGTGGGAGGGCTGCTAGCTAATCTATTGGATAGAGGCCAGGGATTTTGCTAAACATTCCATAACACCCTGGATGGCCTCTTACAATGTGGAATTTGTACAATCCCAAATGTCAGAGGTGCCAAGGCTGAGAAACTCTTTTGCTTAGCAGACTTTTGGGCTGCTTCACTTTCAAGCAAAGTTATTACTGCTATCTCTCATTTAATCTCTAAAGCACTAGTTCTCTAATGTGACTAAGATTAAGAATCACATAGAAAACCCTTTAAAAATAAATAGGGAAAAACAGATGCCTGCGTCCACTGCAAATCTAATAAAAATCTTACCAGGCAGGGCTAGAAATTTGTACTTTAAAAAAGTTCTAGGCTGGGCATGGTGGCTTACACCTGCAATCCCAGCACTTTGGGAGGCTGAAGCAGGAGAATCACTTGAAGAGTGATTTTGTTTTTAGTAGAGCCCTTGTCTCTACTAAAAACAAAAATTAGCTGAGTGTGGTGGTGTGTGCCTGTAATCCCAGCTACTAGGGAGGCTGAAGTGGGATATTCGCTTGAACCAGGGAGGCAGAGGTTGCAGTCAGCCGAGACGGTGCCACTGCACTCCAGCCTGGGCGATAAGAAGAAAACACCATCTTAAAAAAAAAAAAAGTTCTAAAAGTAATTCCCATGTAGCCTATTTCCTGACTCACATTTGTGAAAACTACTGTGGTTAAGTTAATGAGTCTACCTCTAATCAGCATTAGAGAACAACCTGCTCCTACACTCCTACCAAAGATCATAACTGAGCTAACTGCTGTTGAGCTTTTCTAGACAGCCAAGTGGAGAAATATATTAATGAAGGAACACGTCGTACACCTAATCCTTGGCCATTAGAAAACTTGGCTCAGAAAAGATTTCTTTTTACTAAATTGTAATGCGTTGTTTTGTGTTCATTGTCATTGAAGAACAATTTTTTTTTTCTTTGAGACGGAGTCTTGCTCTGTTGGCCAGGCCAGTCTTGAATGCCTGACCTTAGGTGATCTGCCCACCTTGACCTCCCGACGTGCTGGGATTACAGGCATGAGCAACCGTGCCTGGCCTTGAAGAACAAATTTTAACATGGTCGTTTCCGGGATGTTATTTTATTTGCTGTAGGGATGTTATTGAAGAAATTATCTACTGTACCTTTCAATTATTCTAACTACTGTATCTCTCAATGTCTAAACAGAAGTGAATTAAGAGTTGAAGAGCTACTTCTTCTTCCCAATAAATTGTTTTATGTTTCCAGATAAAGCAGTAACAATTATACAATTTTCTGTTTCCTTTGCCTGCAAGGCTGTTCAGGGACAAATTTATAGTTTAGTAAGAACATGTGGCATATGAATGTGCTTACTTTATATGTTTCTTGATTCTGAATTTGTTGTTACTGCTATAATACTTCACATTATTACTGTAAGGTGCATCAATCCACTGTGCAACAAGATAGGAAATAAGTATCTTCTACAAAGATAACCTTATGACTGAGTAAGTAACATATTAACATGTTTTAAAACCGAAGTAACATTAAAAATTATTTGTGGCTGGGCACAGTGGCTCATGCCTGTAATCCTAGCACTTCGGGAGGCTGAGGTAGATGGAGCATGAGGTCAGGAGTTTGAGACCAGCCTGGCCAACATAGTGAAACCCCGTCTCTTCTAAAAATACAAAAATTAGGTGGGCATGGTGGCATGCGCCTATAGTCCCAGCTACT